ATGGAATTAATATGAGAAAATGAAAAAATGGAAACAAAATCTTTGTAAATAAGGAGGGATGGAGGGGTTAAAGGGAGGGCAGGGGAAGGGGGGAAAACAAGAACCAAGAGAGTATGTAAAGGTGCATATCTTCAATGATGAATGTCATTATATTGTACACCTAAAATGTACCAATAAAAGGATATACAAAAAACAAAAGACACTCAAGAAAGAGGACTTCTAGAACTGCTTCAGAAAATAACAAGAAAGATGACATAAGTATATTTGAAGTGAGAAGTAGTAATTTTAGGGGAATTGTTATGGCTTATACTGTATCTAGATGTCCCCCCAAAGCCTCCTATACTCATAGGTAGGGGTTCTGATAGGTGACTAGATCATGGGTGTGTGATACTGGATTAGTCCACTGATGGGTTTATAGCTGAGTATCATTTTGGGAGGTGAAGCCTGGTTGCTGGGAAGAGGTGGACCAATGTGGGGATGGCCTGAAAGAGTGTATATAGATACAGTATTATTCCTCCCTGGATGGCTGCTGCTTCCTAACTCTCTACCATGCCTCTGTGCCTTGGAACCTGCCTATTACAGACTGAAACCTATACAAACTGTCAGCCAAATTAACCTTTCCTCTTTTAAAAAAACCCCAAAAAACAAAGTAGGTGAGAAGGATTTATTCTAGATGTTATGTGACCCACTTTCAAGTTAAACTGTATTTTTGGTTTTATCTGGAGAGTGTAGAAATTGAAATTAGCGCCAGAAGGCTACATTTGCTTTTCTGTTTCTTTCTTTTCTTTCTTTTTTTTTTGCTTTTCTGTTTCATACAGACCCTTCATTCTACCCCTTTCTTATGAGCACTGCCTGCAGCTTACTGTTGCTATAGAAAGGAGGTTCTCAAAGGTACCTTTTATACTTGCCCTAGGAACTCTGGATGGGAATTCCCCTCCTCAGAGGCAGGATGTGAACTATAATTTCTTCCTGCTCTTCAGTGTGGTGGATGAGAACCTTAGCTGGCACCTCAATGAGAACATTGCCACTTACTGTTTAGAACCTGCCTCAGTGGATAAAGAAGAGGAGGCCTTTCAGGAGAGCAACAGAATGCATGGTGAGCTGGGAGGAAGGGGCCACATTCTGTCGGTGAACAGTGATTGAGCGTTTTTACAGGGTCAAGAATTTGTGGCTGCTTACACATACTTGGTCCTTTTAAATTCTCATAAGAACTAACAATAGTGGCTTTTCCAATTTTACTGTGAGGACCCTCAGACTTCCAGAATTATGGATCATATAAATGGCACAGCTAGAATTATATCCCTGTTGTATGTGACTATATGCTATGCTCTTGCCATTAGACTGCCCTGCCTCGTAATGTGGAATGGCTAAGGTTATTGATCATCTGCTTAGTCATTAGTGAAAGTTGTCCACTGATATAATTAATGATAATTAATGAATATTCCTTTGTTATTTAAAAAAGGATGGAAGCTGGAAAAATTATCTACTTTGTTGAGGAAAAATGTTTGCTTTCAAGCTACTTTGCTTATATTCCCCATCCTACTCTGGGCTTATGTTTATGAGGGAATTGATCATATTAATTAAATTTAAAACAACATGAAGGCACAAAATTCCCAAGACATGAACATAGAACTGATATTAAGAACTGAAGTAAGTCAACTGTTTTTGTCAACCAAAGAAGTGATTTTCTTAATTTTTGGTGACAGGGGTGGGCTCAAAACCAGACAGCCCCAAAGAAAGTTGAGAACTTAGAGAGAAGATGGAAAAGATAGCTCAGACTGTTCAAATTTATCTTGGGTTTTATAAGAGCTGATTGTAGTAGCCATGATAAGTGCTATTGTGACACTTATTCTGTGAAAATCTCAGAAGGAAACCAGCCTGAAAGGAAAGAATAGCCACCAAAATAACTCTATGCCTTAGAGAGCTTCTTCATATTGCTGGTTTGAAATATTGACTTTATTACTAACTAGCTTTGTGGAGTTCTGAAAGAAGAACTTTATCTTTCTGAGCCTTACTTTTTTCACTTCTTTGAATAAGGCTAATGATATTGGCCTATTTGCGACAGCTGTTTATAGTATTGAAATGTGGTCAACACAGTGTACTCTTTAAAACTTCATTGAGATATTACCTATTATTATTGTCAGATAGTAAGATGTCTCTCATTTGTCTGTGCTTTTCTAACACTGGTATTTTATTTTGTAGCAATCAATGGCTTTGTCTTTGGAAACTTACCAGAGCTGAGCATGTGTGCACATAAACATGTGGCCTGGCACTTGTTTGGCATGGGCAATGAAGTGGATGTCCACACAGCTTTCTTTTATGGACAGATGCTGACCATCCGTGGACACCGCACTGATGTGACTAACATATTTCCAGCCACTTTTGTGACAGCTGAGATGGTACCTCAGAAGCCTGGCATCTGGTTAATTAGCTGTCAAGTGAACAGTCATTTGCAAAGTGAGATGCAAAATTTTTTAACCTTAGGGTGTTGAAGGGGGTTTTCAATAATAGTCAATATGAGCCTGAAATTCTGGGTTGGAGCCATAAGATAGGTCATTCGGGTGAGCTATCACTGTGTGCATGCTTAAACACTAGACTAGAAATCAGGGTCCCTAGGTTCTTTCTTGGTTCTGCCATTAACTTTTTAGGTAGCTTTGGATATATCTCCTTGTATTTTCTCTTCTCCATCTCAAACATAATGTGTCCTAGGGATGGATAGGTAGACTTTTAAGCTTTTTTAAAAAATTAGTTCAGAAGTCTAAGGATTTAAGACCTAGAAGTATTTTCACTTTACTGAACAGGGAGTAAAGAAGAGATTAAAGAGCAAATTTTGTTCAGGGAATCATGGAGTACTGTGGGCATGCAGTGACACTCTAGTTGGGACCTAACAGCATTAGAAGTAGATGGTTTTAGATTGGGTGGGAGAATGGTTAAGGTAATGAGAAAATGCATTATGGAGTATCAGAGGGATGGCAGAACATATGAGGCAATGCAAAGAGCAGTAGATGAATGACTAGAGGGTTCGAGTTGTAGTTTCAACTCAGAAAATTTTACTGTATCACCTTGGGCAAGTCGATTCCCATTTCTAGGCTTTAAGTTCACATCTGCAAAATAGAAGAGTTGGTGTAAATGGTCTCTAAAATCCTCCTTGGCTCTTACTTCCTAGAATTATTTGATTTATGATGAGTTCAGAGGGTCTTCAGAAAGTATTATGTGAATATGTGAAAATGAGTTTGAATAGGTGAGGCATTGCAGACTGGTTAGAAAATGAGTTTAGTATGGCAGGTTTCAGTTAATAGAGGACATTTCTGTGTGTGGTATCATCAGAAGTCTGTCTTTGGATCCATAGGTGGGTGGGTAAGAGAGCACAAACTGGATTGGGGTAGGGATGCAGCATAATAATGGAACAGGTATGTACCTTGAAACCATATTAGCTTGGATTCAAATCCTGATTCTACAACTGCTTGCCCACCTCTGGTAAATCTACAGGATGGAAATAATGATAACTATATTATAAAGTTGTAATGAGATTTCAGAGACGTAATGTAATTTTAAATCCTAGAAACTAGAGAAACAATGTGACCAAGATAGAGGATATAACAGAAGAAAATACATACTCAAGTTCTATAGTTAAAAGGTGGGAGCTTCAGTGTCAACCCTACCACTGACCAGCTGTACATTCTTGGGCAAGTTACTTAACCTTTCTGATACTTGGTTTGCTACATTAAAAGCATATTTCACACTGTGGTTAGGGAGATTGAATGGCAATAAGTTGCAAAACACTCAACACAGGACCTGACATATAATATACATTCAAGAAACACTAATACTCCTTCTTCACGCATACTTCAGATTTATAGAAGACATTTTTTATATTTTTTTCAGCAAATGTTTGCAGTATAAAATTGTTACATTGCTTATGGGGAGTTGGTACATGTATGTAACATATTTTAACTCATTTACTGTCCCCTTTTCCCCTTTCCATTACTTGAACCCTTTCCCTTTTGAAAAAGATATAACTCACTATTTCTTATTATGTTTTACTTTGATCTTTATTTATATTTTAGATTACTCATGTAAAAGAAACTATGAAATATTTAAGCTTGTATTTATGATTTATTTCACTTAACATGGTTGCAAGTTGCATATATTTTCCTACAAATGACTGAAGTCCATCCTTCTTTATGGCACAGTAGTACTCCACTGTGTATAAATGCTACATTTTCTTTATCCATTCATCTGTTGATGGACATATCAGTGACTCCCAAGATTTAGCTATTGTGAATTGTGCTGCTATCAACAGGAGCATGTATATATTACTGCAATATGATGTCTTTTTAAAAACTCTTTTAGGAAGATAACTAGAAGGACAACAGCTGGGTCCAATGGAATGTTCATTTTTAGTTTTTTGAGGAATCTTTATAGTGATTTCTTTTGTGTTTATAATAATTTACATTCCCACCAACAATGTAGAAGAGTTTCTTTTCCTCACATCCTCGCAACCACTTTTTATTATTTGATTTCTTGATGATAATCATTCTCTCTGTAATAAGGAGGTATCTCAATGTTGTTTTTAATTTGCATTTCTCTAATAGGCAGCAATATTGAACATGCTTATGTGTTTATTGGCCATTGTATTTCCTCTGAGAAGTGTCTATTCATTTCATTTGTACACTTTTTGATTGGATCTTTTATTTTAGGGAAGTCTGTTTTTTTGAGTTCTTTATGTATTCTAGATATTTTTCTGGTGTCTGAAGAGAGTACCTGGATAAGTTTTTCCCATTCTGTAGGTTGTCTCTTTATTCTACTGGTTGTTTACTTTTCTGTGCACAAATTTTTAATTTTTTCCCCATTAAGTTTATTGGCACATTTTAGGTATAAAATACAGTTACATTCATCATTGGGATCTTGTACCTTTACATGATGTATCTTGGTTTTAATTTTTTTCCCCTTCCCTTGCCCTCCCTTCAACCCCCCCACCCTTCCCTATTTACAAAGACTTTGCTTCCACTTGTTTTCCTTTACTCATATTTTTACTTTTCCATTCTTTCCTTTCCCCTAGCCCTCCCACTTCCTCTACTCCTTTAGACCTTTTCTTCCTATTATACAATATCAATTACACATTTTTAATTATAATATCAAAATTTAGAAGACATTACCACAGATTTTACAGAATTTAAAAGGATATAGAAAGC